TTGTAAAACAATTTCGAAACAAAATGCAATCCCAGAACTTGCTTTAAAACACTTAAAACTTACATGAGACGATACCAGCGACAGATCAAGCTAGTTGACATTGTGGCTTACTGTATTGCTATTCCAATCAGCATCCTTATAGCCAACGCGCAAGCATTTTGTTGTTACTCTAACTCCTTTCTTCTGCCGCTTTCTGTGCCCTTCTTCCAGATAATTGAGTATAACCACAACATGCTTAGAAGCTCTGTGATAACTTTGAAGTCGTCGGGCCACTTCAAGCAATTTTTGTGAATCAACTACCTCGAGATAGTGTTGTGATTTATGATTTTCAACATTGATGATCATATTTTCCAGCACAGATGCATGTCCGAGCAGAAACTTTATCATTGTGAGCACTTCCTCATATTTGAACCTTGAACAAGCATAAAATCCAAAAATCTCAACATTCTTGAGATGCCGAGCCCAACACTTGAACTTCTTTTTTATATGCCAATAGCTTTCGTGATTAACATCGCGGGAGCCCATGTGAAGCTGCACATGGATAAAAGACAAAGTGAACATTCCAAATAAAAAACGATTTAGTTTCCATGTCATCATGTTTTAATCACCCGAAAGAATAACCTTCCCTTGTCAAATCAGATCTTTAGCCTACAGTAATCAGATTAGAGGATATCATAAACAAGGGAAACCAAAATTTCGGAACTCAAGTTCATAAATGCAAGCACAATCTTCTCATTGTCACCATCACAGTGGCCTACACAAAAAAAGAAAAACAAGAATCTCTGAGACTGTCATGAAACTTCCGGAGCATTGTAGAGGGAGCATTTGAATATAGGCTGCACAGTCGAGAAACTTTCAGAGGATTATCCTAGTTTCACTAATTCATGGACTCAAGAAGACAAAGGAAGAAAGCTGTGACATCCTCAAATTTGCCCATTTGGGATTTATGAAATGAGTGATTTTATGAACGTACTTGTAGCTAGGTCTTGCTCGGAATTGGCCATTCCTGGGATACTAACCGTTAGGGAAGGGCTAATTAGGGATTTAAATTCGTGCGACTAAAGAAATTCGGTCGTGAACTGACTTTCGACCATAGAATCGTCGAGGTGACATTTTGAGCCAATGTAGGCCGATTTTAGGATGGTTATGGGTCAGTTCGTCATTGTCATACGAGTGGATCACGGGTGATTCCGTTTGACCACGAGGTGAGTTGACGAACGATCCAGAACCTATAACGAACGATCGCGCCTATTGGAACTAGCGATCGATCCTCGCGATTACATTGACAACCGAGGTCGTCACGATCTGAACGAAGTTGCACGTGACTTGATTTAGTATCAGTTACGGGTCGAATATGCGAATTTCCCCAAAAGCCGCCCGTTAGTTCGAGACACGCTCAAGTTACGTTATTTAAAATTCAGTTATTAAATTAGAGATCAATTTGGGCATGGAAAATTTAGGAAGTCACGACAGGACATTTGGACGATGTTGTTATTAGAGTGTTCAGTCTTGGATTGTCTCGATTCCTTCAGAAAAATTCGATTTCGGTGTGAAATGAGGAAGTGACCGTTTTGCCCCTAAGGCTTTTTAAAGGGTTAGTTTTATGAGGCAAGGGCGTTTTGGTCATTTGCCCCCAAAATTTGGAAAAGACACTTTTGCCCTTGGACTTTTTGAGAAATTCCAAGATTACCCTTGGATATTTTGGATGAGATTCGATCTGGGCCGTCAGATGAAAAGTAGAGAGAAGGGCATTTTGGTCATTTGGCAAAAAGTTGGTCAAAACTTGGTTTTTAAGCCAAGACCTCTCTCTCTCTCTCCTCATTTCCTCTCTCTCTCATCTCACGGCATCTCTCTCCCTCTCCCTCACCCACCGAACCAGCTCCCTCCCCTCGCCGAGCAGCCGCACGCCGGTCACCGCCCGACCGGATTGCCACCGCCGCTTGCCGTCGCCACTGTCGAGCCGTGCCGCCGCGCCGAACGCACCCGTTTCACTCTAGCCGCGTGAGTCTAGAGTCGGGTAAGTCGCAATCTAATCCTTGCCTAGGACATCGGGTATTATCGGACTCGTTTAGATGCGGTTTAGGGTAGTTTAGGGGTTGATTAGGGTGTTGATCGTGGTTGTTGGTGGCTGACCATGGATGTTAGTGGCTGTTGCGTGTTGGATTAGATATTTGGGAATGAGTTTTGTGGGTTGGAGATCCATGGGTGTGAGCTAGAACTTGAATTTTGGTTGATTGGGGTGATTCTCGGATTAGTGACTACTGTACCCGTCCGGTTTTCTATTTTTGTGGAGAATTTTGTGGGCCGAATTTGAGGAAGTTTTCTTCATGAAAGTTTCTCCCAACATCTTGAAGTATGACATAATTTAATTTGAGAAATTTTGGAAATCATTGGAGGCCATTCGGAAGTCCATCTGTGGACCGCAATTAGTGTGCCGGAAATACTGTTCCTCCGACCTTCGGGTCTGTTCGAATTTTTATAAATTTTTCCAGACACATTTTCAAATACTTCCTTCACAAAACTTGTTGGGGACATTTGTGACTATGACATATAAAAATTTCAAGGCTTTACAAGGTGATTTGGGTACTGGATGAGATGCATTTTTATGGTCAGGCGGCCTGACCGAGCGGGTTGATTTTCATCTAACTTCAAGTGACCAAAAGAGGTGTTTACAGTTGGAATTTGGTTTCGAGTTCTTCACGGAAAATGTTTATCAAGATGTTTCACGCAACATATCCAAATCTCAGAATTTTTGGAGTTCGTTTACTATTTATTTGAATGGGATTTCGGTCACCGTGTAAACTGCCCAATTTTACCCCGATTCTTTGGATGTTCGTTTTTATGAGCGGAATGGTGGGGGTGTCGAGGTTGAATAGTTGCTGCCCTTGTGATGGGAATTGATCCTGAATGTGTGTTTGTGTGTGGATGGTGTGTTTGTAAAGTGGTTGTAGTTGTTGGTTGATTTCTGAATGATTGTTGGGCTGAATATTAAGTGGCCGTGTGCCTTGTGTGTATGGCCGTGAGGTGTGTGGTGTGATTGCGAAATGAGCTCACGTGTCAAGCATGTGTGATTGTGTGGTGTTTGTGTGGCAAGGATGTGCATGTGCGAAGTGAGTGTGAGGCGTGAGATTGTGTGTGGCCGTGTGTACGTGTGGCCGTGTGATACGTGTGAGATGAGTGGAACGAAGGTATGGGAATGTAGGATTGGTTGGAAAAGTGATACCCTGAGGCGTGTTCGTTTACGCGGGGTAAGTTTCGTCCTGAGGCGTGTTCGTTTACGCGGGAAGATGCCGTCCCTGACGAGGTGATGATGCCCGGCCCGATGGGGTGACGATGCCTGACGAGGTCAGAAGACCGTTGGCCTGATGCGTTTTACGCGGGTGCGGTAGGGAAGGAAAGTTGAGAATGTAGGATTCCGTCCTGAGGCGTGTTCGTTTACGCGGGACGATGCCATCCCTGACGAGGTGATGATGCCCGGCCCGATGGGATGACGATGCCTGACGAGGTCAGAAGACCGTTGGCCATATGCGTTTTACGCGGGCGCGGTAGTGGTGGAAAAGTTGAGAGTGAGCTAGATTTGGTTTGACGCGTGAAGATTGTGAAAGTTGACGCATGGCGTGAGTTAGTGTGTGAGTGTGGTTTGCCTCGTGTGATATGGTGCTGGATGAGTATGGATATAAATGAATTGGCTGTATTATTGTTTGACATGCAGGGATGTGCATGATGGATCCCAGGTAGGATCGCATGTGATTGTTAGTACGATTGTGTGGACGTTGTTCGGTGTTGCTTGATTCGGTGTCTGGACTTGTGTGGAATACGTGGTAGCCTAGATAAGGTTTAGGTTGTGTACTTATTGAGAAGTGTCTCATGGTTGTATCAACCAAACCATTTCAGATCACCCGCCCGAGCCATGAACCTTCTGCAGCCGCCGCTACCGCGTATTTGGGATTGTTATGCATACTTATCATGATGTGGTAGAATTCCCGATCAAGTTGAGGCCGATTTGGAGTCGTCGGACGAAGCTGTGCCTGATGAGGATTCGGACGAGGATTCCGAAGGGAGTGAGTCAGAGCGGACGCCATCTAGAGGGCGTAGGGATTAGTTGGAGCTGAGGAAGAGTCTGGAAGTGTCCCATTTTGATGTAGCGTTACCCAGGCTACTAATCTTTTATGATATCGGTGGTTTGCAGTTTAGTAGTTCAATATGTATATTTTGCTTTGTGGTTTCAGAATTGGCGGTTGTGGCATAAGTTTATGTTGTAAATTGATATTGTGCTTAAATTGAGGTATAGTATATGATTTAGTGGTTTGGCAATTTATTCTCCCTAGTACCCCAGGTAAATTATAAGTTTGAGTGTTTGATGTTTCCGCCGCGACTAAACTCTGATGGGTTCGTTTGGGTCGGCGACGTTTCCTGGGACGTCGCACTAATTCGACCGAAGAGGGATGTCGCGAGCTCGATGGGGTTCGAGGCGTGACAAAAGCGATTTTAGATAACACATTCCGGTTAATCCTTTGAAATATCTAAACTCGTGAATAAGAGTTTAAGGAATATACCGAGAAGGCACCGCTATCGGATGGCTTAAAAATCATGACCAGCTTCTTCAAATTTGGTGTTGTTGCTAGCACGTTTGCTACAGCAGGAAAGCTGAATTCGGAAACGGTCATGTGTAGCGTTAGAGACTTGCAATTAGGCAGAGAAACCTGCATGTCGTCTACCTTGAGAGGCCACATAACCTAATTACGTCAAAAGGTAAAGTCAGATCACCAAAAAGAAGGTTTGCGAAGGGTCACATCCTTGTTTTGGTTACATTTGCAAAGCATAAATTGCAATGATAGAAGCTTAATTACATGACAAACCAGTACTTTTTTTCTCATTGAAAATTCCATCAATATAACACCTAAACATCCTTAAGCTTCAGCAGAGAAGGTCTACCATCCTAAGTATATTACTACTTGGAATAGATAACGTCCAATAGGAAGCAAGATGATTATGCTCACCCGAAGGCACCAAACACCAAAAAGAATTCGAGTAGCATTCTGCAGCTTGCAAAGAATTTCCTTTAGCAGGCAGCAATCTGATTTGGCTGGACTGTCGAAATCTAATTCGGCTTCAACTAAGGAAGGTGCTTCAATAATTCTTATCATCTCATGACGAAAAAACCCTCTCACACGCAATGACAGTAAACGAGGAGTCAAAATGTGCAAAGGGGATCCCATGACATGACCATCAATCACCAACTCTCTCAAACTCCTCGAATGAATTCCTTCTATACCCCAGCAACTTTTCAGATTCAAGTATTCAAGAACAGGGCTGCCGGTCAATATATTCCGAAGCACATCATCACTCGCATTTTCTATGGACAAGGACTTAAGCGAACTCCAACTAATACTTTCGCTGGATAGGAAACGACAGCCTCTCAAACATAGCTTAGTCAATGAAGAGCAATTATAAAGCAATGGAGACAATGTGTAATCCTCCGTCCATGGGTAATCCTCCCATGGTATATACCACCAAATATTCACGTCGAGAAGAAGGTCTTCCACTTGATGATCAATTGCAAATTGAACCCATGAATCAATGTTAGAGGGCTCCTGCTCTGATCTGACGTCAAGGTGGAACTTTTTCACCTTAGGCCACCCATAGTGTGTCAAAACCCTTTCCACAAACGGATCACCACAAGAAGAGACGGAGAACCTGAGATCCAAGATAGAGGTCCAAACAGACCGCCACCTTTTTGACAAAACACACGTTTTGATGACATCCCGTGTGGGCAAAAAGGAGAAGATGTGATGGATTAGGCAATCGGGCAAGAGACTGATGCAATCCTCATAATTTTTTCGGCCTATGGTGTGACATTCCGAAATTTCCACCAATTGGAATTTATTGAATAATTGAGTTTTATGAGATGTGCTCGCGGTAAATTCTCGCCCGGAACTGATCATTCCTGGGAATGCTAACCATTAGGGAAAGGCTATTAGGGGGAATTAAATTCGCGCGGCTAAAGGAAATTCGATCGTGAATGGATTTCGACCATTAAATCGCGTAAGTGATATTTTGAGCCACTGTTGGCCGATCCAAGGATAGTTAGGGGTCAGTTCGCCACTGTCCTAGTAGTGGATCGCGGGTGATTCCGTTGGACCACGAAACGACTTGACGAATGATTCCAAAATTATACCGAACGTTCGTACCCCTCGGATCAAGTGATTGATCTTCGCGATTTTTATGACAACCGAGATCGTCACGCACCGAACGGACTTGCATGTGACTCGATTCAGTATCAGTCATGAGTCGATTCTGCGAATTTCCCCAGCAAGCCGCCTGTTAGCTCGAGAAACGCTCGAGTTGCGTTTAATAGAATTTAATTATGGAATTTTTGCCCAAATTGGACACCGGAAAATTAGGAAGTCACGCCGGAAAGTTAGGACGACGTTGCACGTGACAAGTGTGAATTTTTGGTGCGGTCAATTCCTTCGGAAAAATTCGATTTGGACAAGAAACGGAGAAAGTGACCAAACTACCCCTAGGATTTATTAAAGGGTATGTTTTAAGGGTAAAGGGCATTTTGGTCATTTCTGCATTTAGTCAAAATTTCCTATTTAGGTCAAGAATGTCATCTTTCTCACCTCATTTTTCTATTCCTTTGCCGTGAAACACCTCCCCCAAAATTGCCGTGAGCTCTCCCTCTCTCTCCCGTGAATTTCCTTGGCCATTCTTCTTCACGCCAGCGCCACCGCTGCTCACCGCCGCTTGCCACACCGCCGGACCGCCACCTTGCCGTCGCCGTGCCGCCCTCCAACCTCACCGTCTCTCTCTCTCTTTCCCCTCTCTTTCTCTCTCTTCCCGTGACCCATTTCCGGCCGTGCAAGACCACGCCGCTGCCGGACCGCCGCCGTGCAAGCCGGAAACCACCGTGAGTTGTTCGCCTTCGCCGTAGAGCACCACCGCTTTCCGTTCTAGCCGTTTTAGCCTAGAACGTGGTAAGTCATACTCTAATCCCGATTTAGGATTTTGGGTATCGCCGAACAATTTGATTTTGGGTGAAATTGGACTTGTGCGGGTGCGAAATGTTGGGGCTTTAGACCGGGAATGTATGGCGGGCCTTAAGGAATTAATTTGGAATTTTTGGAGGATGATTTGAGGGAATTTTAAGCTAAGAATCACTGTTCACGAGGCTGTGAAGCTCTGTTCGGGACGCAAGTTGGATTTTTAGAACCGGTATTTAATGGCGAGGAAGTCCCGTGAAGGACCGGAATCAATTTGGCGTCGTTTGGTGGGAGAAAAATAGAAATTTATGTGTTTTACTTGCGTTTTAATTATAATTGAGTTGTGGTGGTAGAATTGTGTGTGCATCTGTGCAATGGGCTGGTGTAAATATGTTTGATTCGTGCACGTTTGGGTTCAATTGAAATGATTGTTCAATTGACCATGTGATATGATGAGTTAGCCAACGCGGGTAAGTCGCGCCTAAACCTAATTTAGGACTTTGGGTATCGACGGGTAATTCCGGACAAAATCAGTATGAAATTAGGTGCGGAATTACATGGATAGGGAGTGGAAATTTTATGGCGGGCCTTAGGAATTAATTCGGGTAATATTTATTGGAAATTCAGAAAATGGGGGCTGCGAATTACTGTTCATATGCTGCGAAACACTGTTCACTGGCTGTGGATTACTGTTCACGGGGTTGTGATGGTCCGATTGGGATGCAAGTTGAATTTTTGGAACCTAGAAATTATGGCGAGAAAGTCCCGTGAAGGATCGGAATTAATCCGACGCCATTTGGTTGGAGAAAATTGGCAATTTACGTGCTCTGGGCATGTTTGAATTATTCTGGATGGGGTTGATTTAATTGAGTATTTGTTTGTGTGTTATATGAGGTAACTCGAGGATGAAATGAGGATGTTTCGAGGCTGGAGTGAGACTGAATAGAGTGTCAGATGTTGTGGGATGGAATTGGCAAACTTAGGGCTCGATTTAAGGCCAGGTAGTGTCGGTTTGGTGTGTGGTAGTATGGTTAGATTGTGATGTTTAATAGGCATGGAAATGTCGAAATTATGCCTATGAACGTGGCTGTGATTGTGGGCCCATGAGCGGCCTTGTGTGTTTATTGAACCGTGGTTTGATGGATTGAAATGTGCTTGATTATGTGCACGCGTGGGCCAGATTGAATTAATTGTTGAAATTGGCCATGTCGAATGCTAAGTAAGCATGTTTTACGTGTTAATTGATGCGTGCGCGGGCCGCGTGTGATGGGCCAGTTGATTGTGGTAAATGCTTGATGAGCATGTGCATGGGTAAGAAAGAAAAGTGGTGTGGCTTCTGATTGTGGAAGTTATGTGAAGGTGTGTAAGTGCAAGAATGGGATCGGGCCGAGTATCATAAGCTCGGGCAGCGATCACGTAGGTCTGTTGCATTTGGCACAGGCTGAGGCTTGAAAAAGCAAGAATGAGAATCGGTCCGAGGCACGATCAGCTCGGGTGAGACCGGGATTGGACCGAGGCATCCTAAGCTCGGGTTCCAATCACGTAGGCCTGTCGCATTTGGCGCGGGCTGAGTTGGGATCGGGCCTGGGGCGTGTGATGCTCAGGTCGCGATTGGGGCCTGAGGCGTGAACGGGTACGCGGGCCGGATGTGGTGAATGATCTCAGTGTACCTGAGGCGTGTACGTTTACGCGGGTCACTGGCGAGTGATGTGGGAAGTGATGAGTGGTCGCAGTGTACCTGAGGCGTGTATGTTTACGCGGGTCACTGGCGAGTGATGTGGGAAAGAGGAATTGAGAACGGAAAGAATGTGTGCGAGATGAGAATGGTACATGCGCGTATTTGCATCTGATGTAATTGTGATTGAGTGCGGGTGTGCGCATGATTGAGCCTGACCATATTAATTGATGTGCCTGCTTTTGTGATTACTTGATGTACGTGAATGTGTGTGATTGCGTAATTGTCTGGAGGTACGTGATAGCCTAGGTTGGGTTTAGGGGTGTACTTACTGAGAAGTGTCTCACGGTTGTTTTCAACCAAATATTTCAGAACCCAAACCTTAGTCATGAATCCTCCATCGCCACCACCCCCAGTACGTTTTGGAGTTCCAGTGCATACAGAGTATGAGACAGCTGAGTTTCAAATGGGAGACGGGATGATGTGGAGTTAGATTCTGAGTGGACGCCAAGCGAGGGGTGTTAAAGGTCGTTACGGGTTGGATGGCAGGTCATCGGTTTTTGTTCTTACTCTTGAAGGGTTCAAATATGTGCACTGGTAAACTAAGGCTTGTATTTTGTAAATATGGTGGTACAAGTTTGACCGAGTAATGGAAATGTATATATTCTCCCAATGTTTCCCCAGTTAAATTTTTGTTCGGGTGTTTTATGGTTTCCATGTGCGCAATTAAATCTCTGATGTTTAGATGAGGTCGGCGACAACCTGGGACGTCGCAATTGATCGACTGGAGGCGGGATGTCGCGGGCTCGACGGGAGCTCGGGGCGTGACATATGGTCTGCATTGAAGTACCTGCCATGGTTTATGAATGGATTCTGAGAGTTCTGTTTTTCCCTAGTTAGTGAAGCATGGACTTTTGCATGATCACCCTAATTGATGAGATTGCTTTGTTAGGTTATGGCTCACGATCAGAGTTCTGAAGTCCACAAAAAATAATGTATACACATCTTCAGTGACAAACAAACTAAACCCAACAAATATCATTTCATATATATCTATCTCAACTTATATCCAAAATTTAACTCTCAAAAATCCCCCGCCCATATCATTCCCGTCCTATCTGTCAATAGCTATAGAACCTGAGAAAGAATTGAGATGAATAGTATAAGCAAACCATCGCTCAGTGAGTAGTACAAATCTCATCTAAGCAGAATACATTTTATATAGCATTTCTCAAACCATTTTCACAAATAACCAAAAAAGTAGTTAATGCCATATCCAACTGTACGTAACAAATATACTCTAAACACCACTTTTTCTTTTTCAATAAATATAAAACCATTCGATCCCTCTTTCATTTCTTATTTAATGACTATCATTTTTTAGACATAAGCTTACAAATCATAAAAGAAATAAGCAACACTAACCGCTAACCAAAAGCGAAAATGGAAGCTACACCGCCTTGAGAGCTTCAAAATCCTATATAAAAAAAGCATTAACCGAATGTCAAACTTACGCGCCAACTAATCTCGACTAAGAATCTTCTGGGCGATGACGCTATTTTTAGGGTCAACGTCCACTATGGGTCGAAAAAAGGCCACACAAGCATCAAACTTGCTGCAGCAAACAGAGCAGCAAGCTCATCTTGCGTGACAAACTCTAACAAAGCATCACCAACAAAGTCAGCACAGCTAGGGCTCCAAATTTAAACTCTAAAAAAAACAAGCTTGTAGGTAACATAAGGGTTAGGTCGGGTTTGGATGGGTCGAAAATGGGTTCAACCGAAATTGAACCATTTTTATGCGATGAAATTCTAGCGACTCGTATTCGACCCGACCAGGAGCCGACCCATCTCAACCCAAATCGAGCTCCAACTCTTGGCATTTTCCCCCTTAAATATGGAAAATAGCATACTGAAAAGAAAAGTAACCAATTAAAAAAAATTAGCAAAGAAGAAATTACTAAAATATGTGATGAATCAAGCTACTAGAACATATAAACGTTATTTCTCCTAATGCTAGAACTTTGATCTAATTTCTACTCTCGTAAGCACTAAAAGAACCGAAAATACTAAAAAACATCAAGGTTTGTAAGATTAAGAGGGAAAATAAGGAAATGTACCAAATACCAACAAAGGAAGAACAAGATCATCTTCAAACCCTACGTCAACTCTACATAAAAAAAAAATAA